GCGAATCGCTCGTCTCTTTCCCTCTTCTTCCCTAGCTCTGAGTTTTCCCCACAGGCCCCTGCTATTCGCCTGCATGTTTGGACCTCTTGGCCCATTATCTGGCCTCTGGGAATACCAGCATGGCCCCTTGCACCAACTTCTTCAGTTTCACCTGTGGAAAGGCTAAAGGGATCCAACCTCTTGAGGATGAGAACAAAAGCCGACTTCGAAGAATACTGGGTGAGGAAAACAGAGTTTAATATTCTCTATACCAATAAGAACTCTGAGACAAGGATGGTCATGACTACCCTAAAGTCTGCACAATTATGGAATATCTGTTTTTTACTGTCCCCAATGAGCTCCTCAGGGATCTGCTGGGGTATGCATTTCTGTCACTATTCTGTTACCTCAGGTACCCTCCTTCCTTCATCTCTTCTCTCTTTATCTTTTCCTTATCTAATCCCTATCCTTTTTCTTTTTCATTTATCCATGATTACTCCATTCTCTCTGAGATCTTCCTATTAATATGCTCCATCTTTGTTGTTGCTTTTTTTTTTTTTTGGAGAGGTTTTTGCTATAGGGTGCATGCGCTCACCAGATAGACAGACAGAGACAGAGAGACAGAAAGTGAGAAATCACCCCCCAGGAGGGATGGCCATGCCGAAATCCCTTCTCCTCCATTCTCCTCTTGGGATCCTGGGCACACACGCCTGGTGTGAGTTTAAGCCACCGGGTCCGGGACTTGAAACGCGGTCGACTACGTGGGAGTCCAGCGACAAAGCCATTACGCCAACTGCTGGTCCCTTTCAGTGTCTATTTTATGCACAGTTGATAACATTTCTCCCACATTTCCCATGTTTTAATTCTTTTCTCTAACCTTAAAACCATTCTGGTCTGCCAATGCCTCCTTGTCAACATTACCATCTTCCTCCCACCACTTCCCAGCTCCCTGTGTCTCACAATGATCTCTTGCTTTTCCACTGAAATCTTGGGCCTATGGCAAGCAAGTTAAACCAGAACAAGATGGAGATGGACAAATGGAGATGATGGTGGAATGAAAGAGGTAGAATAGTGAGGTCAGAAGTGAGAGGGTGCTTTATCGCTGGTAGCACATAAGAAAAAGAATATAGACAGGTACAGAGGATATGCTGGAAGAAGGGAGAGAGCTGGGTCAATTGCTATGGAGGTAAAGAAAGTCCTGTAGATGTTGGCTGTGAAGAAGAGAAAACTTCCAGGACTGAGAGAACAATATAAGGAGGAACTGAGACTGTAGTAAGCTAGAAGTGGGTCCTAGGAGGTCAGTGGATGGTGATGAGGGTTTAAAAAGAACATGTAAGATAGGCAAGCATTTCCAGTCCAAAGAAACCTAGAGAATGAGTTGACAGTATCAACTGGACTCTAACTTCCTGCTTTCCTTCCACTGATAGGGAAAAAGTGGGAAGTATAGATTCTCTCAGTAGAGGGATACTTTCAGTTAAGGCACAAAGATGCAAAGAATTTTCAGGATAAATTCTGTTGTCTACAATGGAATGAAGAGATATCAGGGGGACAGAATAGCATGTACTGGATGATATTAGAGGATAGATTATTCATATGGATGTGTATTTGAATTGCTATATTGGTTTATGTGTTCCCTGGGATAATTGGGTGCAAAGAGTCTAGATTTGGGGAGTCCTAGCTATTTCTCCTGTTTGCTAACATTCATTTTCTGAGATTTCCTCTCTCCAATACCTCTAAATTTCTCAGTTTTTTAAATGTTTATTATTTCTTCAGTCATTTCTTTTATTGCCTTCCATTTCTACCCTTTCTCCTTTACATCCCACTTACTTTTATCTTTTTCTTGCATTCTTTCCCTTCTTTTCCCATTTTCTTTATTTCCCTCATAGTCTTCTCTGTACTCCCTCCTAATCCTCTTATTCTTTCATCAGGTGGATCTGTTCCTAATTGGGCCATCCTTTCATCTCATTATTTCTCATCTTATTTCTCTCCTTCCTTCCATATTTCTATGATAGTCATCCCCCCGTTTATTTTTCATAAACGCCCTGTCTCCCACCCTTTGTCTTGCTACCAGCCTCTACTCCTTTAATTCTCCCATGTTTCCTTTCTAGAGTCACCAGTTTCCTGGCACCTAGGCTCTGGGGAAGAGAAAGCCTTCCAATTCTATAATTCCTGCATGAATACACACGCTATTGAAGCTGCTGGGGCTAGTCCCCTCAGACAAGTTATTGAAGAGGTGAGAAAAGGTGGGGCATTAACTTTTTTGGATACTTAATACCTGGGCAATATATGCTTGAGGTATTCTTTTTTCTAGAGAGTGGGTATTTTTTCTAGAGATCTCCAAGTTCTAGAAGGGAGATGACAATTAAATGGCAATGCCCTGTGGAAGAATCAGGACCTTGGGCAAGACTAGAAGAAGGAAGACAGATGTAGTACACTAAAGAGATTGAAGGACCCAGAACAGAAATTAGGAGGTAGAAGCTATCTGAGGAATAGAAGACCAAAGCCATGGTCTCACAGATCCCAAAGTCAGTTCTGTCTCTCTTCTTTCTAGCTCGGAGGCTGGCGAATATCTGGTAATTGGACCTCCTTAGACTTTAACCGAACACTGAGGCTTCTGATGAGTCAGTATGGCTACTTCCCATTCTTCAGAGCCTATCTTGGACCTCTTCCTGTCCCTCCATACACTACTGCCATCCAGGTGAGGGATGCACTGACAAAGCTACAGCTGGATCTGAGCCTACCTCTAATCTAGGTGATCATTCTCTTACAGGAAGATCACAGGTTGGGAAGATAAAGACAAATGTACAATGTAGGGAATAGCCCTGTCTTAAAAGTATTGGTGTGAGAGTCAGGAACACTGGGGGATGTGTGGGAGCAGATTCAGTCTTAATAAAATGACTGTAGATCTTCCTTACTGCTAATCTGGATTTCTCCTAGAGACTCTTAACTAATCCTCCCATCTCCAGGATTGCCCTACTATTATTTACTCTTAATTTTTGCTAAAGGGACCTTTCTATACTAAGATTTAATTGTATGATTGTCTCTATTTGAATGCCTTCAGCACTTCATCACATCTCTTCTCCCTTGCCTAAGGCATGATGACTCCAAGAAGATTTCTCTTCTTTTTCTACTGTTTTTCTTATCTGTCACAATGCCTCCACTCAGATGAATAAATTCATAGGTCGTTTGCAGATGTTAGCTTTGATTATTATGTCTTCCAGGAAGTGTTCATTGACCTCCTAGCTATGAGTTAGGGGCTGTCTTCCCATTTCCTTAAGCTCTTGGCCATCTAAGAAGAGGACCACACCTTACTTACCTTTGTTTCTCAGGACCTAGCACAGGGCCAGACAGCTAGAAGCCCACACCAGGTTTTTGTTGAGTATAAATAAACCAAAAACATTGGAGCCATCACTACTGGGGTAAGCAATGTAATGCAACATATTTGGTCCTTATTCAAAAATTCCACAAAATTGTAAGAAGTTGAATATAGAAGAAAAACTGATCATTGGTTTCAGGTATTTCAGAATTCAATTCTAAAGCGTATATTCAGGAGTTTAACTGGTGCAGGTTTTCGGATTAGTTAAGACCTGAACTAGTTAGTTACAACTGCTTTGTTGACATTCTGAATACTTCTAAATACAATTTTTTTTTAATTAAGAAAAAAAAAAGGAAAAGGCTCAGGAGAAGAGTGCTGAGCCTTGAAGCATGATTGATTCACACAGATGAAAGTGAAGC